CACACACTTCCCCACAAACATTGTCCCCATATACACACTGCCCCTCCATACACACACTGTCCCCATACACACACTGCCCCACAAACACTGTCCCCCATACACACACTGTCCCCATACACACACTGCCCCACAAACACTATCCCCATACACACACTGCCCCCCATACACACACTGCCCCACAAACACTGTCCCAATACACACACACTGCCCCACAAACACTGTCCCCATACACACACTGCCCCACAAACACTGTCCCCATACACACACTGCCCCACAAACACTGTCCCTGACATACACTGCCGCACTCACACACTTCACCCTTAACACACACCACTGCTCCTATACCCTATATCCCAGCAGACCCCAGGTAAGTTGTCAAACTGTTCTTAAACGGTATGACTACTTACTCGGGTGGAATCCTGGCACTACTGACACCATAACTACTACACTGAGCTGTAGTGGTTATTGTGCCTGGATTATTTATTTAAATAATCTACAAGTGCCCCTCCCGAGATCAGGCTCTGGATCCGCCACTGCCCTGACTCCTGGCTTTTCCTTATCGTTGTGTCTCTTTCTGTATCCCTTGACCTCGGCTATTCCTGACTATTCTTTGGTACTTTAGTCCAGCCATTCTAAGGTCCGGTATATGTTACCTATCAGTCCTCTGTGTTACACAATTCTACGTGCTGGATCATTCTGTAATCCTGACAGTATCATCATGCCACTGCAATTTATACTTCTCCAAAAAGGATCGAGTAAAAAAGAGAGCACAGCTAAATTATTAATCAGATCTCTACTTGTCCAATACCTAACTTCCTTAGACAAACAACCGTCACCATTTTTGATGCGACCCCCAAACCCGTCCATCTATCGGACCGTCAGTCCCTCGGTAGGGATACTAAAATTCTAATGTTCCTTCCCAGACCTAACTTTGTGTTCCTCTGGGAATTTAGTATACCAATGTTGCCAAATCTTATAGAATCCTTCCAAATTTGAGTGAGAGATAAAAAAACATTTTCCATCATGGATATGTGGTCAATCTGCTTCTTCACTTCTCCCCAACATATATGGTTCTGATTTTTCCAATGACAAGCAATTATTTGCTTCATAGCTAGATGGACATAAATAACCAAGCTCTTCTTTACTGATGACGTTTTTAGCCCACAATGAAGTATTGCTATTTTCGAATGGGGACTAATAAGAGTCTTAGTCAGAGCAGTAATTACCCTAAAAATCTCTTCCCAAGCGGGTTTAACCCCTTGAGGACTGAGCCAAATGTACATGTTGTGCTTAAAACGTAAACAAAAACTTGAATTTGCGCTGTATGTCTGTTCAGGCGTAATTGGCCTCTTTTATATTATGTGCACCCACACTTATTATATATCATTTTATTCAGGGGAAACAGGGCTTTCATTTAACATTAAACATTTAGGTAAAAAACATAATTTAATATGAATGAAATATAAAAAAATGGGAGAAAATAAGAATTTTAAAAATAATTGTGACAGTCTAACTGTGAATGTCATAATACTGTTTGATTTTACTGCAATAAAATACACATATTTGTATTCAGCAATATCTCACATGTAAAACAGTACCCCTTGTGTAAAGGTTTTATGGTGTTGGGGGAAGTTACATGGTCAAATATAGCACGTTACATTTTTCAGTTTTTTTCACATTGACATTCAACAGATTGGTTACGTTGCCTTTGAGACCGTATGGTAGCCCAGGAATGAGAATTACCCCCATGATGGCATACCATTTGCAAAAGTAGACAACCTGAGGTATTGCAAACGGAGTATGTCCAGTCTTTTTTAGTAGCCACTTGGTCACAAACACTGGCAAAAGTTAGTGTTCATATTTGTTTCTGTGTGAAAAATGCAAAAAACTAATTTTAACGCCAATTTTGGCCAGTGTTTGTGACTAAAGAGTGCTGATAATGCAAGGATGCATTGTGCAAAGGAGTGCTGATAATGCAAGAAGACATTGTGCAAAAGAGTGCTGATAATGCAAGGAGGCATTGTGCAAAAGAGTGCTGATAATTGCAATGAGACACTGTGAAAAAGAGTGCTAATAATGGATATCCTGCTGTATAAAATCTGCTGGAATTCCACAGTCCTGAAGACAGAGAAATATCCTAGGTAAGAGAACTTTCTTGGGTGTCTGATTGAAGTACACACATGTATATAACAGGTTTTAAAAACCTAACTCTAAGTCCACACACACACTTGTTTCTATCAAGGTATGTGGCATTGATTGCTGTTATCTGTGCATTATCACAAATAAGCAGGCTTTTGCAGACAGTGGAAGAATATTCTGCACAGGAGACCACTCGGCCTCAGTATTTGTACATGAACTAGTGGTGGTACAGCATCAGTATGTTTCCACTATATGCTCTAATGTATGAATTGGTATGAAGTCTCAGTGTGTGTC